ATTCAGCCATCAAAGAGAAACTCAGCCTTCAAGAAGAAGCATAGCCATCAAGAAGAAGCACAGCCATCAGAGAGAAGCTCAGCTGTCAGGGAGAAGCCCAGCCCCCGTCAGGGAGAAGAACAGGTGTCAGAGCAAGGCCAGACACTGAACAGGCCTCCATACTCTTAGAAAGAGGACACAAAGCATGATGCTTTAGGATACAAGGAGGTAGGTTAGTGGTCAGATCTGCACAGTGGAATCTACCTTGTGCCATCTTCACCAGTGGCCACTGCTGTGCTGAGCACGAACAACATAGTTGCCACGATGCTGTCACCTGCATTGCTCAGGTAGTGTGGTGTTCTGGACACAGTTGCTCAGGGTGCACATGAATTAGATTGTGTCAGGGTCTTTCCATACCTCCCATCCCAGTCCTCATGGCCCAGGGCAGCAGAGGCAGCCCAACGTTGGGTCATATCAGGCATCAACTGGAAAGAGCTCTCTGGGCTGTGGGCTTGTACGCAGTGGTGCCTCTCTCCAGCAGCGACATGGGACAGGCAGGGACTGGCCTGGCATCCATGCGGCATGCATTCTCTCTTCACTGATGGGAACAGGAGGCGTCTTATTACTAGGCTCTGATTTACAGAGCAGGCATCTGTTTTCTCTTAAGTCCACATGAAAGATGCAGTTAGACACATGCCGTCGTACCACGTTCATACCCTTATGCCTCTGTGGTGCTGCAAGAATGGCAGGCAGGTGGCTCGAGATTTCAGAGGTCAGCTTTTGCCTTTCCCAGGTTCTCTGTCTCAGGGAGGCCGAGGATCTCTGGGACTTCGGTCTGCGGAAAATGTCCTGAAACCCCACCTGACTGATGCCACATCTCTTAGTTGTGAGGAACGGGAGATGGGCTAGGCATCTGCAGAAGGCTGTCTCTGGGCAGGAGACAGACTCTGGACCTTGTGCCAGACCTTGGAGGCTGGGCTGAGAGCCGTCGAGGGGGAGCACTGTACACCCAGCTGAGGGACATCTCAGCAGGTGCAGAAGATGGTGTCTGTGGATTGACTGGGGCCACCTCTCTGGGCAGATGAGGCCACACACAGCATCTTCCCTTTGCACCCACCAGTGCAACGCTACGGAGGACCAGCTGGTGTCCCCTGGAACTGATGGACTCAGACTCACTCTTGAGATGTCATGAGATACTATCACTGGCAGGCACCTCCAGTGACCCTGGGCTCCAGGCTGCTGTCCCCCAGTTCATCTCAGATAATGCTCAGTGAGAGAGAAGTGGTATGACAGGCATAACCCCCAAGTGAGGAAAAACCCATTGCACTTGCCTCTGTGGGCTAATGCGGGCCGTGTGGTGGACAGAGCATCCACAAGGCCTGTTCGCCTGCTTGGGGGCCCATGGACCACCTCTGTCCTGGGCCCAGGCTCCCTCAGGGCGATGTAGGTGGGTCCTGAGGCTACCACAGGCCACAAGAGCTCCTGGAAGACGTGTAGAAAGCGAGTCCTGGTGTCTTGCAACCCTGTGCTGCCGCAAGCCTTCACAGGGACTGTCCCAGAAGAATCCAAGGGGCCCAGAGACCACGGGAGTTAGCATTGGTGTCCTGGCAGTTTTAAACAGGTCACGCCTGGCTCCACCCTGCCTGACAACCTCTGGACTCTCGCCCTGGCCTGCCCCCTGCCGTGCCTGCCCTGGTGACCAGTGAGTTACGGCCACTGGTGTCTCCTGGGCAGCTATACCCAGGCTGTGCCTTCAGTGCCACCAGAGCCATCAGCAGGAGTTTTTAGAGAGCTCAGGGGACCCTTCACAGGGCAGACGCGCCAGCCCTGGCACCTGGCCTTGTTTGGGGCCTGGCTGAACGCCCCAGGCAGTAGAGAGAGCATCCCAGCAGGGTCTTAATTGAAGCTTCCAGTCATATGCTTTTGTTTAAGATCATAAACTCTGAAAATTACCACTCTCATTTAGAGCTTAACCTTTGCTGCTACAGACACAAGCGTCTCGCACCCTCCTCTCCAGAGCTGGGGAAACTCAGGTGCCTGCTGGGGTTACTCCACTGTCTGGACTGCGTCCGGCAATGGCAGTGCCTCTCAAGGGTTGGGGCCTGATTCATGAAGAGCAGCAGTCAAGCACTGCCTCCTGGGCTGCCCTAGGGGACTGATTCCATCCTAGACCTGCCACTTCTGAGTTTGCAGCAGGCTGGACATGGCTGAAGCCCTGTCTCCCCATGGATTGTCCAGGTGGGGCCACAGCTCAAAGCCAACCTTGTCCCCTGAATGAACAACCTTGTCCCCTGCCTGTGAGCACTGCCTCCGAGACCTCAGAGAAAAGCTTGACCATCAGGGAGGAGCCTTGCTGTCAAGGAGAAACTCAACCATCAAAGAGAAGCTCAACCTTCAAAGAGAAGCACAGCTATCAAGAGGCAGCACAGCCATCAGAGAGAAGCTCAGCTGTCAGAGCCTGTAGTGTGAAGTAAGCAGACAAGCCCTGTCTTATGGTGAATACGGGATGCTACTCCGTCCCCCCTGCAGGTAGTCCTGAAGCCACGTGGGAAGCTGCCTCATCACTGTCTGTCTTGATTCTGCAGCCCAGAGTAGATGGCTGGTGATGGTCCAGCTACCTGCAGGAGATGCCGAAAGAGGCCAGCCCAGGTGGAGTCTTGCAGAAGGCTGCCTCTAGGTACTGATGCTGGGTCCAGGAGTATCTGGGAAGCCTGAGAAAGACAGGCTCCTCCAGGTCCTGAGTACACAGACCATCAAGAGCCTCTCTGAGGGTAGCCACGTACCGAGGAACCAGGCCCATACTCAGCCCAGTGGCAGTATGGTGCAGGCTCTCTTCCAGACACACCTAGCCCTCCCCAGCTGAGCACTGACGCACCCAACCCTTGGTTCCTCCCAAAGCACAAATGTTGACTCCAGACGGCCTGCCAGGCCCCACCGATGTAATGGCGAGTCACACAGGTGTCCCTGAGCATGGCAGTGACCCTGGAATGTGATTCCAGCCTAACCCAGCATCCCCTGGTGCCTCATGGTGGTACTCTCGGGAAAGGAGGAGGAATGGCAGCATCCTGGGAGTCACCAAACCCAGCGCTCATGGGCACCACCTAGAGACTGCCCTTGTCCTGCACCACCCCTGTGTTCCTGTGTCCCTGACTGTGAGCAGTAACTGGACTCTCCCTGAGAAGGCCAGGACGTTTGAACTCCCGGTAGACAACAGAACCCAGGAGGGGCCACACACTCCCTGCCAAGCACATTGTGGGCTCTATGCATCACATTTGTGAGCTCCAAGCTGAAGGACTTGCCAGCAGTGGAAGGCAGATCCTTCCTCGGAAGGTTCACAGTCACTACTGCCCCATTACTATCTTCCTGCCATCTGGGTGCCAGCGCCTCCCTGTAGTCTTGTCACTTGAAAGCCTGCACCAACCCACCCAATGCACAAGGTGGGCATTTTGCAGATTTGAATGAATGAATGGAAACAGGGATGGAGAAACCAGCATCAGAAACCACAGAACAGACGAGTCTGTGGGGAACCCCCAGCCGCTGAGCACTCCAGTTACTGTCTGTGGACTGGCAACTCTGCGGGTCACCCGATGGGAAAACACCCTGGATGGGGTAGTCTGTGGACACCTGTGGTGTGGACATGAGATGCTTGGCAGCCTGCAGGCCTCTTCCCGGCTCACAGCACCAGCAGAGGCACTGGCGTCCATGCTGGGGCACATGGCTGCCCGAGGAGGCCGCGCTTAGTGCAGGTGCTCCCACATAGCTGAGCTTCAGGAAAATTCCGTACTCCTTGCTCCTGGCTGCCATGGCCGCATAGGCACTGCAGCGTAATGGGGACCAGATGCGCGTGCTGGCGGGCTTGGGCCTGGGCTAAGCATTGCTCTCAAGCTGTGGAGACACTTTTATTTGTTTAAGGAGGGGTCCTGCTCTGGGCGTGTTTGCACTTGGAGCCCGTGTGCGGGTTTGGGGCTGCACAGAGGCCCACGAGGCCATGGAGGGGAACTTCCTCTCTGTGGCTTGCCCCACTGCCAAAACCCACCGTGTGCAGCGCGTGAGGAGGCACAGACATGGGAGGAAAGGCTAACGATTGACCACTGTCCACATTGCATTTGCACCAGGCAGCCCTGCACATGTTACACCTCTGAGTGTGCTGTGGTGAGCCGCTGTCAGAATCACATACCCATCAGGGTGTCTCCTCTACACAGTGTAAGTGCTGCAAGAACAAGAGCAGGTAGGCAGTGGTCTGCAATGCTGGTCCCTGACAGTGGCATCACCCTGGCCCAAGCCTGCAAAGGGACCTCAGGGACGTGGCACCCGACCTCGAGAATCGGGCGTCTGTCCTGGGAGACAGCTTCCCCTCAGGCTCTTCTGGAAGACTCAGCCTTGTCAGGCGGGGTGGGCTGGAGAAGGGTCTAGAAACAGTGAGGAGCCTTGCCTCAGCCCAGCGGCCTGGTCCTCCGGTGGCCTCCTTCCAACCATCCCTCCAGGAGGGAGGCAGGTCAGGCCCGAGGGCACGTGCTCACCCCTGTGTGGAGTGTATAATTTCAGTCTTGGTGATGAACAGCCCCTCCTGTGGTGGGTAGCCATTTGTCTTCAGGTTAGACTTTGACTCCCAGAGGCCATCCTGTTGTATGTCCGAGTTTATCAAATGTGCAGACGTTGATCGAGCTGCGTGTCGGTAGCAGAAGTGCGGTAGAACATCCAAGTTAAAATTCTCACTTTGATTGCTACAAATCCACAGGCCCCTGGGTCCAGAGCTTCCCGTGCAGTTTGCAAATGGGCTTTTATGGCACGTTAGTGCTGTGGGGGATTCCAAAGAAAACAGCCCGCGCCACTATGAGAACCAGCTGTGGCGTCCCGAGCCCATGACTCACCCCTCTTTTTAATGGGTGGGAGGACCAGGCAGAGGACAGAGGGACTCAGTCAAGACGCTGTTTGTTTTGTGGAGGGTATCCTAGCCACAGCCCGCCCGAGTGCGCCCATCTGCAGCCGGTGTTTATGTAACGTTTTTTTCCTTCTTGCAGTTCCAATTATAAAAACAGAGCCCACGGATGACTACGAGCCCGCTCCGACCTGCGGACCAATGAGCCAGGGACTGGGTCCCCTCCCGAGACCTTACTACAGCCCGCAGCTGGCCGTGCCACCCGAGCCTGGCTCCTGCCTCGTGGCAGGTTTCCCAGCCTGTCCGCAGAGAGGCTCGCTGATGCCGGGACCCCCTGGAGCGGGCCCCAAGCTCCATGACCTGTCCTCTGCCACCTACACCAAGGCCATGGCCAGCCCAGGCCACTGCCCCCTGGGGCTCCCACAGCCAGCCGGAGAGGTCCCCGCCATCCAGGATGGGCCACGGCCCGTAGCCGTGCACCCCGGCTCACCCGGGCAGCCGCCCCCCACCGTGCTGCAGCCGCAGGTGAGTCAGCCTCCGGGCAGCCACGTCCCTGGGCTCCGGCACGTACTCCGCCCCAGCAGCCCCTCTTCTCCGTGCCTACCCGCCACCCAGGAGCCACCCTGCTTGCAGCTCTGCAGCGCCGCGTGCCCACCTGCCACGGGCCGCCAGCAGCCCCCGCTGCCGAAGGTCCCCAGGGACGAGTCTGCAGCCGCCCAGCCACGGTCGCCGCCCGAGGTGCGTGCGGACGGTGGCCCTGGCTTGGCCCCCATTCCTGTAACCGTCAAGCGGGAGCCTGAAGAGTTGGACCAGTTGTACCTGGACGACGGTAAGTGCCGCAGCCATGCACTGCACCCACCTGGCCGCATCGTGCTCAGAGGAGAGGTGTATGGGTTGGCCGCCGGCACTGTCACACAGGTGCCGGGTGTGGGGACACTGTGCGGCACCCATGTTGGGCAGTGGCAGCCATGTGGGCACTGGTTGCTGGCTCTGCTCCAGGCACCTCTCCACGGGGCTCTTGCTGGGCCCTCAGCCACGGGCTCCTGTGAAGCTTGCCTGGGGGCTGAGGATGCCCGGGTCACTGTCTGCCGTTGAACACGGGGCAGCCCAATCTCAGGAGGACTGGCTGAGGATGGACCCTGGCTCAAGGCAGCCTTGGCCCAGCCGCTATGGGTCAAGGCCTCATAGGAGCCACTGGGGCAGAAGCTTTGCTAACAGTGATGGACACTTCACTCAGCGCCGCCTTGTAGAGGCGTTTAAACACAATGGTGGCCTTGTCAGGGCCATGGATGGAGGCTGCAGACCAGGGAGGCTCTTGACTGTGACTTGGGCCCAGTGCACAGAGTGTCCCCACACAGTTAGGTGCACACAGGGGAACGTGCACATGAGGCTCGTCTGTGAGTAAGCACCCTGGGCCAGGCTGAAGAGCGTTAGTAACAGAGTACAGCACCATTTCCCCATGGAAAGTGATGACTCCATCGTTCTTCATGCATGTTGACACTTTAAGGGGTTCCTCTCTCTGTATGTGAGGCATCTTGACAGGGGCCACCCTTTTGGTGTATAGCTTCCATGGTGACAAGCTCATGGCCCAAAGCCCTGGCCATCTGTGCTCTGCCTCCCTGCCTCTTTAGTCGAGGCCTCTCAGCCTCTTCAGTGGGTTTTCCGTAGAAGCAGCAGAGCTGATGCTATTGACTTTCGCTGCCACTGCAGTGGCCCCACGAATACTGAGCTTTCTCATGTTGCCATTCTGCAAGCTTCCAGGGGTCCTTTTGTTGTTGGGTGCTCTGGGTGCAGGTGCCCTGAGCCACCCACATGCTCTGTACTTGTCCTGGTGTGCCCAGATGAGTGGGCCAAGCCCTGAGTTTCAGGGCCTGGGGACAAAGCCTTCTGGGCTTCATAGCCTCCTGTCAGCTCAGCAGGGAGCAAGGCCCTGCAGGTGCGTCCTGTCTCCTGACTCAGGCTCCAAGCTTTGAGGAGGACTTGTGCCGATGTGGAGCCTGAGGCCTGCAGTGTGAGCTTCCCGGTGGCCTGGTGGCCTTCTCATTCCAGGGACTCTGTGACAGTACCTCCCTTGTCTCCCCTTCCCCTGGGAGCCACACCTGAGATCTTGCAGTGGCCTGGGCATATTTCTGAGGGCATGCTATGACTATTAGGAGGAACTGGGAGAACGTTCTGGGTTGCATATGGATGTGGTTCAGAATTCCTCTGTTCTCGTCTACTCTGCAGCCCAAGGCATGGTCAGGAACCGGTGGCCCCATGTCCAGCTGCTACCCAGTGCTGCCACCTGAACAGCTTATATGCTTTGGCCCCAGCATCCATGCAGGGAAGCCACTCTGCTGGTGACGTCAGCCAAGGTAGCACCAGCACTAAGGCCTCTGCCTCCTCTCAGACTGAGGTGGTCCCATGATAGCAGAGGGACAACAGAGAACATATCTCCCCGTGTCCCTATCCTTGGTGGTGCCCGGCCAGTCCTGGGCCCTGCATCTGGGCAGCACCCTCCTGTGTCACATGGTTTCCTCAGCCCTGGAATGTGTCCGTGACTCTGGTGAGTGTGCCCTGGGAGCACAGAAGATCCGCCGCATACGTTGTACCATCAGGGCCTCTCCAGTGCCTGGCAGCCTAACTGCCAGTGGGTCCCTGGAACCCGAGACACTGGGCTGAAAGCACTTGTTCACTCCTTCAAAGAGGTGCCTTTTCTGGATCCGAGGTAGCTTATGCCTACAACCCCAGCACTTTGAGAGGCCAAAGCGGGAGGATCGCTTGAGGCCAGGAGTTCGAGACCAGCCTGGGCAACCCACGCCCGTAAAAACTGCAGCATAAACAGAGGCCAGGGCCCCAGTTAGGCTGGGACAGACCAGTGCAGACTAAAGAACTGCACTGTGGGGTGGACCCCAAATCCTGGCTCCCTTAAGCTTGAGTGAGTGGGGTGAGTCCCCACTGGCGCCATCTCCATGGGCGTGGTAGAGAGAGGGAGGTGGGTAGGGTGAACTCGCAGCAGGCGGGGCCTTTACTCGGAGCATCTTTGCAGCATGAGGACTTGCACTCGCCTGGGAATCTGATCCCTTGCCTGCCCATTTAATGTGCTGCTGATTCAGGGCTGGAAAACGCATCTGACAAGCAGAGACAGTGCCAAAGCTGCTCGCTGCAGGGTGGAAGAAGGTTCTGGAGAGTGTTGTGGGTCATGGCGTATGCTTGGGCAGGAGCACTGGCTTCTGGATGGGGGGCTGTCCTGACGGGGGCTGAGGCACTGAGGGAGGGAGGGATACTGGAGGCCTAGCAGAGCTTATGGGACTCTCTTTGGAATAACGAGGGGTTGTCGGCAATTCCTCTGACTCCGCACCCAGCAACCCCCGTACGTGACTTACTTGTTTTAACAGACTTGAACTTAAAGTAATGTTCTCATAATATGCATTTTGTCTAATTGCACTGTATCGCCTAAGAGAATAGGGCCTCCCCACGCAGCCACACCAGAGACTGAGAAAAGAGGCAAGTGTGATTTCTGGGCAGTGGAGGGGAGGGGACGGGATCTCTGGGTCAGAGAGACTCACTCCTGGGCCACGAGGATCAGCCGTGAAGAGAGATGAAAGCAACAGAAGTCAAGCCAGAATGAGCCCCAATCATTACACATGTCCTTAGAGTGTGGAAAGTAAGACCGTGTCTGCCAATTCACACAACAGGGATGGGTAAGAAGCAGGGCCGGAAGCAGAGAAGAGAGATAAGGCATGTGCAGCAGTGGTGGGCCAGGCAAGGACGTGGGAGCTTTACCTTGACAGGACAGGATGGGCTCCCTGCTTGATGTCCAGTGGCCGCACGAGGCTCTTCCGTCAGGATGTGGGCATTGCTACACCAGGCCTGAGCCTCCTCCAGGGCCACAGAACAGCCACAGAGCACCCTAGTCTTCAGGGGCTTCACAATGAGTCACATGTGGGAACACAGGGCCATACTAACACCTCAGGGGCCTTTGCCACCAAGCAGACCTGGGAACAAAGGACACAAGGGAACACTCCACCCGGCCCTACCCATCGCCCAGCAAGGTCTTGGGAAGAGCCTTTCCTTGCTGGCAGCCATGGCTAGTCTGTTAATCGAGGGTTTCAGGCCTTGCCTATCTCTTCCCCAGATCGTTCAGATGCAGTGAGCAGGGCCCGGCCTCCCCACAGGCTGTCAAGTAGTGACGTCTGCTTGGGAGGGCCGGGAGGGGTGGACTCTGTGTGTGTGTTGGTTTTCATTTTATGTAGGTTTTTATTTTGTTTTCCGGGAATGTGAGTGAAAAGGGCACTAATGGGATGCTATGTCCTGGTGTAGGTCCCCCGGGCGAGTGAAGTTAGGTCACTAGTACTTGACGACCATGGGACAGAGGGAAGTTCACACATGGGCAGTGATCGCTTGCAACCTGGTGTGAGTGCCCAGGCATGTAGTAGGGGACTTGTGACTTGTGTACTCAATGAACAAGTAAATAGAGGGCAGTTAACCAAGTATCTGGAGTGCCCACCTGTGGCCTGGTCCAACTGCTGGCGGACTCCATGGCCAAGCACGTCCCAAGTCTCTGTTCATCTCAAGGAATTCAAGCCTCAAAATGGATCCCAATTTTTTGTGGGTTTTTTTTTTTTTTTTTTTGGCAGAAGTTTTTTGTTTTCTATTCCCAAGTTTTGTTTCAAAAGTACTTGGCCCCTAAGTAAATTTCAATGGTGAGTTCATCTTTGTTTCCACAATCTTCATAAGATCTAGCTTTCAACTTAGACTTCTCAAGTATGGCAGAACCACAGAGGTACGTTTTTAAAATATTCATTTTCTGGATATTTGTCATCTTGATCATAGATTTGAAAACAGATGCCATAAAGCTACATGGGAGCCACTTGTTCAGTGTAACCTCCACAAACCATCAATTGTGGCGAACTGAACATGGACAATGCTCATCCTCCAGGAGTAGATTCTTTCTTAACTACACATGGGAGCCACATAGTGTAGGTGGCTCACACACACACACACAGGCACACCCATGCACATGTGTACACACGCACACCCATGCTCTCCCATTGCATGTGCTTTTGTGGGCACTTCTTTTGAGAAGCTGTGAGGCACATGGTGTCCACGCTGGTGTTCGTGGGCCCGTGTTGCTGAGATGGAGCTTTCTTTAGAGTCCTGCAGGGACAGCGACTATTCTACAACATGGGCTTGCCCACCCTGACTCCATGTTTCCTTGATGGCCCCATCTCCTCTGCCACAATTGGGCCTTTCAGTCCCCACGAGCTCTTGGGTTTCGAAGTCTCAATGTCATTAAAACAACAAGCAGGTAGACATGGCGGCCAAAGCGTGTCTGCCCCGTCTGGGCCGGCAGCCGCCCACCCCCTCCCCCACCCACCCCTCCTTTCCTGAGCTTAGGTTGCTCTGGGGGAGAACAAAAAGCTTTCCTCATGGAAAGTTTTACTAACCTGGCCCGGCGCCCACGTCTGAGGCCTTCCCCATGGCTAATGATGATTGAGAGGGTCTGCAGGGCCGGGATCAAACGCGCAATGTTGTTAATGTTGCAGACGTGGGCTACCGCATGATGGATGGGAGGAGGGTCCAGCACTACCGTAATTCATTAGGGCAGTACTCATATCCTGAGAGGCCACGTGGGGAGTTCGCGGCACGAAAACCACACTGCATGCCACCCAGAGATGGGCTGCCATGGGTGAGGTGTCCCGGGCGGTGTAGACAGCATCTCTGCAGGGTCTCTTGACTGCAGCGAGCTTGTTCAGCCCCAGGCATGGGCTGCTACCTGTGAGGAACCTCCCTTTGCTCCTCTGGGTGAGAGACCACAAAGGGCATGGCAGGTGGTCTCCATGCTGCTGTACCACATAGGCCTCACTCTGAGCCTCCCAGGAGCATGTCAGACAGATGTGCAGGCGCTGCCTGGATATGTTAGCTCGTCTCTCAGTGTCTGCTGTTATGTGTCCAACAGCAAGAGACCCTGCAGAGATGCTGTCTACACTGCCGGGACACCTCACCCATGGCAGCCCATCTCTGGGTGGCATGCTGTTATGTGTCCAATGTCCAACCCAGTGTCACCTGGTGTTACCTATTGTCACCTAGTTACTGCCAGAGGGGGTGTTGAT